GTCTGTCGACCTGATGGGCCAGGTTTCACAGCCATATAAGAGAGTTGAACGGACGGCTGCGTTGTAAACTCTGCCCTTGAGGGCGAGAGTAATGTCGCGTCTGCGCCACAGGTGGCGGAGATTCGCAAAAGCACCTCGAGCTTTTGCTATACGGTTCGTAACCTCATCTTCAATCCCACGGGTGCTAATATAGCTGCCCAGGTACTTGAATTCCTGAACGACTTCTAGCAGATCACCACCAAGCGTTAGCGCAGGGTTGGGTCCTTGCCAATCTTGGAGAAGTACTTTGCATTTCGATGGAGCAAAGCATAGCCCAAAATGATTGACAGTCAGTGCTAATCGGTCCAGTGCTGTTTGGCATGTTTGGGAGCTGTCACAGATTAGGGCAATATCGTCCGCATACTCCAAGTCAAGAAGTCGCTCACCAGGAAGTAGCTCCACACCTTCTAGGTCGTGTCTAGCGAACGCTGTTTCCATGACTTCATCAATAGCGAAGTTGAAGAGGAAAGGTGACAGCGGGCATCCTTGTCTCACACCGCTGGTGATACGGAAGGGTGGCGACAGTTTACCATAAACCCTCACCCTGCCCGAACTATGCGCGTACAGCGCTTTGGTAATATTTACATATTTATCAGGCACACCTTTCCTCAACAGACAGTCCCAAAGGGCACATCGATCGACTGAGTCGAAGGCACCTTTTATGTCAAGAAACACGACAACGGTGGGTCGCCAATAAACATGGCGGTGCTCCAACACTTGACGCAAGCTGAAGATGTGGTCGATGCAGCCGCGACCTTGATGAAATCCGGCTTGCTCTTCACGAATCTGGCTTTCACGAGTGCCAGTCAGTTTGTGGAGAATGACAGAGGCAAGCAATTTAAAAGCAATCGAAATCAGACTGATGCCTCTATGATTGCCGCATTCCAAACGAGAGCCTCCCTTGAAAATTGGGACAATGACGGAGCGGTTCCAGTCTGTCGGGACTGTCTCCTGCTCCCAAAGTTTTACTAGCAACTCGTGTGTATCATCTATTAGAGCAGGTCCCCCGAATTTGAAGAGGGCTGGGGGAATTCTATCTGCCCCTGCAGCCTTATGCAATTTCAACAGCCTGATCTCACGTTCGACTTCTGCACGTGATGGCGGATCCAAGGAGACGGCCCAGGGAGAACGGCGCTCAATGCCCGAAGAAGAAAGCGATAACTCAGGTTGATTAAATTGCCTTGCAAAGTGTTCAGCCCAACGCTCCAAGCGTTTTGACAAGCTGTGGATCGGCTGCCCACTCTCGTCGCGTATGGTCTCGCTAACACCAGGTCTTCTGCTGCCTCTTTCCCGTATCAGACGGAATAACTTACGATGATTGCCAACGGCAGCGGCTGTTTCCATTTCCGATGCACGATGAGACCACCAGGTTTCGCGATCCTTCTTTAGGCTAGCACGTAGTTTTGCCCTGAGATTTTTGCGAACCTCATTGTATTCGCTTCCAGTCGGAATACGTCGGCGAGCATCCATAAGTTTCAGAGACTGCGTAGAGACCCAATGTCCGGTTTTGCAATTTGCTTTGCCACATGAAGACGTGCCTGCTAACAGCAACGCTTGACGAATATGCGACCAGTGATCTTCAACGGTGTTTAGTGGGCGCTTGCTCAGCCCAGATGTCAGCGCACTTTGGTACACATTCAGAACATCTGGCTTCGCCAGCTAGCTGGTGTCAATCCGTTCACATCGACGTTGCGGACGTCCACCAAAACGCACTCGGAGTTCGGCGCAGACAAGTGCGTGGTCAGAGTCCACGCTCGTGCTCCAAATCGAGCGGCAGTTTTGGACACAGCCTCTCCAGCGGTAACTGATCGCGATATGATCGATTTGCGTCCACGGCTGGCCTGAGGCTGCTGGCCGCCAAGTCACACTTCTGCGGGTGCTGCGTCGAAAGTTAGTGCTCGCGAGAAAGAGGCGAGCATCTTCACACAGCTGTAGCAATCGCTCACCATTATCATTACGGGAGCCCACACCATGTTGGCCGCCCAGATGAAGCTCATCAGAGGACAATTTCCCGACTTGGGCGTTTGGATCACCAGCCAACACCACAGTATCCGTGCCTCTTCTGTAACGAAGGAGCTCGTGCAGTTGCTGATAGAAATCATCTTTTATCGAGTCAGTGCTACAGTTTGTAGGGGCGTAAGCCGCAATGACAAACAGGCACCGTTTGTCCCCGCGCGACTTCGTTGCACGGAACGAACCAGCTAATCTAACGGCGCACATCCTACTGTTTACTGGGATCCAGTCAATCAGGGCAGCTTCAGCCCGGGGACTCAAAACAATGCCGACGCCAGCTTGACCGGCATTTGAAGCTGCATCATCGCCAGACAGGCGCAATGAGAATGTGCCGCCAGTGTCGGCTGTGGGGGATCTCAGGGCAAGCACGGAGCTCGAATCTTGCAGGCGGGTTTCTGATAAACAGCAAATATCGATCGACAGGGTATCTAGTGTGCGGGCAAGTGCTGCCTGTTGGCCAATCTGCAGCAAGGTGCGCACGTTGAGGCATGCCAATCTTAGCGAAACACGAGGACTCCAAAGGGAAACGGATGAACTGACGTTGTCCTCTGAAGAAATGTATACTGCAACATTCGCAGCTACCGAATGCAGCTTTAATGGCACAATAATGAATCCTAATATTGTTAAGGTACTTCCACTGTAACTCGATAATGAATGTGAAGTGGGCTGTGTAGTATACTGGGTTAGGTAGTGTTCAACAAATTGGAAGGGTACTATGGTAACGAGAAGCGGAGTCTAGCTCCATTTCAAGTGGAACAACGCTTTTAATGGAGAGGAATGACAGTACTAATATCAGCGGAGGAAAACCTTGGTTCAACAACGGATATGCTAATGCATTAGCTAATGCATTAGCATTAGCGATAATGAAATAAATGTGCTCCTGAGATGGACCAGCAAAATGGCCTTCAGGTGTAGCATCCTTGTTGAGGTGTGCGATGGCCTGCGACCGACAACATCGGGTGTAGTTCCCAATTTTTCCACAGTTTTTGCACTTTATGGTACGTGCGGGACAATTGGGAATGCTAGCTTTATGAGAAACACCTCCACAGCGATAGCAAGATGGGTTGTCCGCTGGTAATTCTCGGAAAGATTGCACCCTTGTCACCTCAGCTGCGTTGTTCAGACAGAACTGTTTCAATTACAGTGAAATTTCAGCTTTCTGAGACTGAGACTGTATTTAAGAGCGAGTAAAAAATTTTATGTACAACTCTATCGAATTATGTAAAATTAAAACATATAATTGCAAATCCTCAGCGGTAGTGTTTAGTCATTTACTCGTTTATTTTTATTCGGTTAGGAATTTCTATTGATGTCATTATTTTCGGGTACAGGATGCATTTTTTGCATTGTATGTGCACCGTTTTACAAAAGCACTGGTTTCCAAAATAATCGTTGCTATGTGTTTTGTAACACTTCACAGAATCGGCCTCTATTAATCCTTCTGGTAGTGTATTTCATAAGTTTACGATTCTTCGTTCTTTACAAAGCTGATGTGATACCTTGTTCATGCAGGGGACCCTGAGTTTATAGAGCAGTGTCCTCGCGTGTTACAAGGTTTTTGCAGGTGAAATATTGGCTGCAGTATGGAAAGTGATTCAACTGTAGTACTCGATGGGTCACATTAAGCTTTCCTAGATTAGACATCATTCTAGTTGCGATGTGCTGTATTTTCTCCAGCTTTTCCGTTTCCCACTGGGTTATCGGATGATAAGCTGGGGCGTCATATTCAAGGATTGGTTTAATGAGCGAGGTGAATATACGAGGGACGGTTTTTTCGGACCATGTGGAGAAACTGCATGGTAATGCCCAAAGCATACGAAGTTCCGCACGGTACAATTTCTCTGTATTTTCTAGTGATCTCATATCATGTCGCGGGAGCACTCCTAACTCGCAAGCTTGCTGCCACGTTCATGTGCACGCCACTTCCAGCAACAACGCTTTACGTATACGGTTGTCAGCTATTCCAGAAATCAGCTGCTGAATCAGCATACAACCTTCGATCTATTTCTGTGGGAATGGGCGAATAATCACACGGTCGTACTGCCCGGTTCAACCGGACAATGAAATCATTCAAGGGTTCACCTATTTCTTGATGCATGCGGAAGAAAACGTATCTTGCAGTTAACACATTCATTTAGTAACTCTGTGTACGATCGAGAACGTTGAAAGCTTCTTTAACGGATTTGAAGTCTTGAAGGCACCAAACATCAAACTGCCACTGCCCCTCATCCCCGAGTAAATGTCGAAACAGCTTCAATCTGTTTTCCTCACTAAAAGCAGAATGGAAATCGCTGATTAAATCCTGGTAGTTTTGAAAGGATGTTTTCCAACGGAGCCATGCGTCGTATGTTGGTCTACTACCGCAATCAATCCGAAATGGAGATGGGGACTGAATGGAATGGTTCATCTTTAGGCTCGCGACGCCAAATATTATATCAATAAGGCAACGGAGAAAAGCAATGAATTGCGAGACAATACCACTAGTGAGGAATGATGGTAGCGAGGAAGCTATTTTCCAATGTAGGAATTCAAAAACGATCTAGGCAGACACCTGGACTAAAATATACATCTCGCGAACAGTACACAATCATAACTCACAGTACGCATTTTGCGTTTAATTTCCGACGTGGCATGAAACGTGGGACTTCGTAAGCACTAGGTAAGTGGTGTTTTCCTATTTCAAATGCGGACATGAAATCTTGACTTACTGAATGAACGATTCAATCCTGATAGCAAGCTCGTCATATTGTGGCCCTTATTGGTTTGTGAATGAAGCCCAAGTAAACATGGGAAGCGGACTGATTGAACCTGTGGTAGAAACTGAAGTCATAAAACTACCGTTTGGTAGTATTTCACTGTTTTTGTTTATTTTGCACTAACCAGGTGAAGGTATTTGCTTCATTCAGTTCATTAAGTTAATCTTGTTCCGCTTCGATCTGCTTTATCAGGTGAACGACGAAAAGAACACGCACATTTATGTCACCGGTCTTCCTCCGGATATAACTGAGGCGGCTTTCTACCAATTGATGTCCAAATATGGAGTGATCATGAACGAACCTTTCACTGACAAGCCGCGCATCAAATTGTACAAAGATGAATTTGGGAACCCCAAAGGAGACGGTCGGTGTTGCTATGTGAAGGTGCCTTTCCTTCTTCCTGAAATTTCGGGTTTCAACTATTGGTGTCTTTAGAACCCCCTAATATGCATTTTACTTTACCCGAACATATGGATGAGCCTCATAAGTGCATCGAGCTTTCCTGAATGAGAGCAAACATGTTTGACACGTCATGTGAGATCAGTTTCTTGTACTATGCTGTAGGCTACCTGTAATTTCCAAAAATTGCGTTTTATTTTTCTACGGGACTCATTGGTATCTCTATCTCCAAAGATCCTCACAGACAGTAAGGTCACCGCTCTGCGCTGCTGGATTGATTGCACTTGAATTCGGTTGTCGCTGTGATTGCAGACATTCTACAGCGGACTGCTCACAACCCCCATACCCAATATTATCCCGAAGGATTGAGGTTAATAAGTACTCGGGTGGATATCGCGATTGTTTTCGTATTTGTATCCATCGCATCAGCACATTTGAAACCCGTGGTTGGGTGACGAACCCACTCGGCAGTGACCCATCACCTAGGGACTACACGCAAATTGCATATAGAGAGTAATGTACTATCTGTGAGCATATTATGCTCCTGAGGTAATATAAAAGTGCAGGATGCTGGCATGACAGATTTAGGTAAGGCCTGAGTAGTTCCGCAATGAAACCATTCCTTAAGGTAAGTGCTTTCGCGAAGACCGCACCACATATTCCTCAGTCTCTTCGAACTAACAATCTAAGTGGCTAACTTCATAGTTTAATCACCTCGTCACCATACACAACACAGGAACAATGTGTTTGCGAACTCAAACAGAGCGCGTCAAAATGCCATCCATACCTATCAACGAGCCGTGGCATGCATCTCGTTGGTCTGAGCGCTAGCTGCTGCCAGTAATTTGTAATGGACAAATTTCCCGATATTCTCAACGACCAACATTGCTGTACACCCTAATACACACTATCCTGTTTGCCTGTATGCATCCACAGGTGGAATCCGTAGACCTGGCGTTAAAGTTGCTCGACGGCATGATGTATACTCCGGAACACACATTACATGCAGAAAGGGCAAAGTTCCAGCCGAAAGGGGCATTTGACCCGAAGAAACGCCGCCGCTTAACGTTGAAAGAAAAGAAAAAACTTAAGGAACAACAAGAGAGGTAAATTCGCACTGCGGATTCCTGGCATGGCTTTGTAAACGTGCACTTGGCTCCAAACGCAGCTTTATTTTTATTTGTAGTTTATTCCGCTGGGGCATCGACACTAGCAAATTCGTTCGGGGCAAGAAGGAACGCGTTATCGTGTTGAAGAATGCCTTCGTGGAGGCAGATTTTTTGGTAAGTTGACATTGTGCCCTGATTCGATTCAATCGCGGTATTCCGCATCTACATGAGGCTGTCGACCGTGGTGCTCGTTTTTGGAACACGAGTTCTGGAAGGTCATCGACGCACTGACTTTGTCATCATTATATCCAAACGGCTCACAAACATATTCTGCGGTGTCTCACCGATCCTTTATGAAGCACATCCAGATTGATCTCAGTGCCTGTATTGACAGCATTGACCTCATCTGTACACCTCTTCAGGTGCCGTAATAGTGCCATCTTTTCAACCAATATATGTCGGTAGTTCCCTTTAATTACTCCCGTTCTCGACGCATTTTTTTCTGGCGAGTGCATCAGAATACTTCACCTTGTTGCACGACTTTTGTGGCGCTGCACGAATCAAGTGAAAGCTAATTTTCCTGAGTTGGTCACGATAAGTGGGATGCATGCGAGAGGTCCCAACACTCCCCTTCTCCTATGTCTAATCCTCAAAATACAATAGTAGCAGTAGTGACATTTTCTTTTCGATTTTTCCCGAATGACTTTGCGTTAATTACTTCTTGTACGGAAGGTTTGTCAGGTGAAATATTACAAATTTCTCTCAGGATCGGACCCATCCCCTAAAAATGCAACTGATCAGACTAACAAACAGCGTACCGCTTTGATATGTTCTTCACAACTTCAGTGTGTGATGTGCTGTTACCCAGGTGACCCGGAACACAGCCGGTTCTCACAATAACTGGGCAATTTCTCGAAGTAGTCGATGGGTCAGGTTGCTACGTGCTTTAGAGAGCCTCATATGTCTTCATGGTCATATCCATGAGTAGTGGTGGCGAAACATCAACCTACCTATCAACAGTCGAGGGCGCTGCGCCCCAATTACACCACTGTTGTTTCATCGATCAGCGTCGTCTCTACTGCGCGTTGAAAACATCAGCAGACCAGTTGTCCTTCAACTATTTATCTTCCCAATTTCAGTACGATTAGCTCTTTTACACATGTGGTCCTGGTTGGCTGTCTGGGTCCCAGAATCATTCCGATTGAATGATCGAAAAAACACCACCCTCAGTACCAGTTCAATCGCCGCGAACGCAGCACGGACTTATGTTATTTATGGGATCGCGATAACCCTCCTGAGTATTATTATGACTTTTTCTTCTTTTATTACCGAAAACAGTATTAGATGATCCACGAGCATTTTTCGGACCTTTCAATGAAATTATTCTGCTGATTTCGAGGCGAATAGCTAAAATAACGATCGAATCTTTAGGAGGTTCTCTTCATAGCACACCGGTGTCTGCGTAGCAACGTTCTTATCTGGTGAGACCGTCGAATGAACAGTTTCGAACTACACCCATCGGCGTTTGACGAACAACCCTCCGCGGTGCAACAATCGATCACTATGTACGCTTAAATCGTCTGGTACGGAAGTGGCATCAACAGTAAGCCGGTTTGTCTTATCGACTCCTCGCTAACACACGATCTCTAGGAGCCGCGAGTTGGACGGTGACATTGCGAAGTCGTACGCACCTACTCACAGACCCGAACCGGTTACTCGGAGATTGCTTGGCGACATCCGGTTCAGGATTTGTTTGTCACTGTGGCTTCTATAGGACAGTCACAGGACGTCTGCGCCTACTATGGGTTGCCTGCGCTGCACCACCCACAGCTCCATTCACACCCCCAATATCCAGTGTAAACCCGAAGGAATAACACTGAGAAGCATGTGGATGGGGCCACGTTTCATCAGCGAAGCCGGCCAACACTCCTTCCACATGCATAGCAGCAGCATTCCTGTCTAGCTATGTAGGGAATCATGCGTTTCAGACTTACACAAGGCGCTGATTGGGTAGTAGTCCGCTCAACACTAGACGAAAGCACTCTTTGAGCCTAGCACGACCACGAGGGCCTTGCACCCCGTCCCCCGAGCAACGATTCCGGCTCCTGGTGTCAGTAATCAAAGTGGGGGTGTTAGAGAGGTAGGCACTTCGTCAACATTGACATCAAGCGCAGTCACACTGAGTATATCGAACATTCAACATGGACTTTGAGAGAAAGCAAACACGCAAGTTGACGCAGAACATGCAACAGAGTAACAGAATTAAACAAACCAAATAACGAGGGATGACTTGTATCCAGATTAAAAAGACCTATATTAAGTGTAAGTCAATTTAGCCCAACTGCGATGAACGCAACATCAACCTCAGCATGAGGCACGACTCGGGGATTACAGGCATAAAGGCATCAACAGTACGGCGTTACGTAGTCGCGACACTTCGCTGCCGCGTAACCACCACCAGCTTCACGTTGGCTAAGGGTGCTGCGAGGGTCGCCCTGCCCCTACACAGACTCGATCCCGCGCCGTCAGATTACAAGACAAGCTCGTTACCTCTATGCTACGGGCCTGCTGGGTATTACAGGCCAAACGTCAGCCGCTCAGTCCCTGCTTTTGAGCGCTCGGTTAGTCTTGTCTTTCGTATACTTGTGGACCGCTGACCTTGGCGTCTGCGTATGTTTAGGTGACACAGTGAGTAACCATTGACTTTATACAGGCTGGAGAATATTAGCTGACCACCTTCGTGCAGCCCTCTTCATGAATTTTTGCTTATGGACCTGGCACATAATTGGTTAGGTATATTATTTGACATAATACGATCGTACCTACAACCACAAACCTTTCCGTACGAAGATTAGGGACATTAGTAAACTACCAACATATCTGATCACGCGTTAAATTCGTATTTTCTGCATCACTAATAGTTCCGTTATGACGCAACTTATGGCAATTAGACCCACCGCACCAGTGCTTGGTTCGTTAACAATCTTACGTTTGTACATCACTGTGGCCCTTCACATCACGTCTTCTCCTTATACACCCAGTAACTGGATTTTCCATGCTTATACGCCGACATGACTGATACACTCGGAATTCATTATCACCCTATGTTCGCATGCCTCCGATAAGTTTGGGCTTCATCTGGCATTAGCTGCTACAGCTTATACTCCCGTACGAAACCATCAACCTGAGATTCAGCTTCACTGGTATGTAGGCACACGCAGTTTCAAACTCCTCAAGGTAGCAAATGGAAATCTTCCAAGCTTCCTCGAGTACATGAGATGGCAACCAAACCAGATGAAGCTCGATTACTAACGCCTAAGGTGCATATAGGGAACAGTCTATTAGTCGACATCATCTACCTCCGACTCCGTCTACACCTCAATACCTACTAGCGAGGCCAGTGACCACTTCGCACTAAACATTTCACCTCGGTTGGAGACAAAACATCTGAGGTCGGTTTACCAAGCTGGATGAACATATCAACATCTCAATCGTTAGACAAGCCTGCATTTCGCTACTATCGTTTCTTTCTTTCTTCTGCAACCTTAATGCGCAATAGTCTTTTGATCGATTACAAATCACAGATGAGGTCACATTCGATAGAGCGAGGCATCTCGGTTGGATAGCGCCGTACTTGGCATCAAATGAACGTTGAGTTTATCGATACATATGCGCTGTTTGAGCTACTGTGCTTGTTTGAATATGTTTATAATGATGAATCCAATGGTCGCTACATGTTCCGATCTTGCTTAAGTCCCGAAGCCCGATGTGGGAGTGTATTTCACATAAGGATCCAACCATTGCTGCCACTGTTCTATTTTGCACGCCAACTTACTCTCCCGTCATATCGCCCCTTCTTTTAGCATGACGTCACTCTCATTCCCGTCGTTCGTGACAGACTCCGGGCTCAGTGTGCCAAGTGCGGTACGGTGAAGAAGATTGTGGTCCACGATGTGAGTCATTTCTCACCTCGATTTACCGAATATCTTTTGCTATCGATTATCATGAGAGCTGGATTGATTCATACGGCTGGCTTACTCTCAGCAGTGTCGCGCACACAGTCTTGTACGATTGTAGTCAATATCTTTAGTCCTTGGATCCCAAAGGTATTCCTTAGAGAGGGCTAATTTGTGGGCAAGCGATAACCACTGCATTAGGATGCGTATTTTTGCATGGATCTTATGAGGCATAAAATCTATGACATTACAACTGTTTGGATGGATTCATTGCCACAAATCCACTCTTCCGTTCATTTGATCTAGTCACCGAGGTCTTTAATTTGAGCTAGCTTTCACTTTCTAGCCTTTAACCCTACTTTTGCGGTGGAATCATTCATATAGTAACATCACGCTCCAGGGCGACGAAACGTGAAATCATCCAGGGTTTTTAAGAAATGTGCATCGTTTCGCTCTGGTTGAATGAATCCCAGTATAGCTATGTATTACATTACAAGCGACACGGAAAAATGTTGGAAAGAGCCGATATGCTTCAATTGAGAACGGGGCTATTATCCGTTGAGCTTTGAATCCAGCGGTTACGATGTGCTTTTCTACCAAACTTGCTTGAATTTCCCTGTGAGAAAGTGTACTAAGTCTGTATAGTAGGTCGCCTTTTCCACCTTTATCACTCCTCAGCAGGTAGATTGCGCACATTCGCAAGGCACTCTTAGCAGCAGGCATATTTTCTCGTGCCAAATCTGACTGCCGAACTTCTGGACGCTCGACTCTCATTCCGTCTGAGAGCGAGCACAATGAGACTCGCAAAGAAATTAGGGCGAAACTACGTGCTAGCCTGTAGCGAGACCGCGAAGCCTGGTGCTCTCATCGTGCATTATCACCTTTATCCAACGTGTAATGCTCATGGTGATGAGTGAGTACACTATAGTTGTTTGGCAGTGTGAATTAATTATGTCCTGCAGTGTATGTCGATGGAAATTCATTTTCTCCGCCGTTGCTAGTTGTAGAGTCATAGTAACCTTGGTGTTTGGATAATAGTTGATTAACTCAAAGGGACCGTACTAGATAATTAGATGTCGGAGTAGGACGGTATCCACCAGTCGAACGGTCACACTACAGCAAACTGCTCCCCTTGAACCACAGTGGTCCACATACTGCCCATATATATATATATATATGTATATATATGTATATATATATATATATATATATATATATTGTTGGCGGCATCCGGTTTCCGATTTGCCTGTCACTGTGGTCAGCCACAGGACGCCTGCGCTGCACCACTCACACACCACATATCCAGTGTATACCCGGTGGAATAAGACCGGGAGGCAGGTGGATGGGAGCCACGTTTCATCAACGGAGCCGGCCCACACTTCTTTACAAGCAAACACAAGAACGCTGCATTTGGGAATCAATCGCACACAAGGCAGTGGCTGGACCGTAGTCCGCTCCACACTGAGTGCATGGAACCACTCTTTGATCCTAACCCGGCCACAAGAACCGTGCACCCCGTCCCCTCCAGCAACGACCAACTGTCTCCTGGAGCCAGATGGACGAGGTAGTGGGTAATAGACAGGTAGGCACCTTGTCAACATGCACATCAAGCGCAGCCACACCGGGGATATCAGGCAACAGCCAAGCACTTGAGAGAAAACTAACAAAGAAAAGGAATCGAGTAATGCATAAGGAAAGGTGGCAAAAATCTTAAATTAATGAGCATATGAAATAAGTTGTTTACAAAAGAATCCTAGATAAGTTCCCGAGATCGGAAAGTATATGATACGTAAATGCCACAAACACGAAAGCGGTATCGAAATTAACTACAATTGGCTTAAGCGAGTTGTGCAGGCTTATAGAAGAGCGTACAGGTCGACATTTATTTGAGAAAAAAAAGCATTAGGACAAAATTGAAAACGCACCACCTGAAACAAAGAGACTTGTCATGCAAGCACGCGATTAGTAACTCGAATGCAACGTACCTACAAACGCTGCGCCGGTTCTTCCTACGTTCTCTGCAGGACCCGTCGTCGCTTCGGTAGTGGTCCCGAGTGGCATCGCTCATGGCTCACTAAGCCTGCCTGACTCAGGCACTCGCGACCGCATGTGCTACAGCACCATGCGCTCGATGTCGATAGAGAATAACCCATCGGTGCTTGCCGCTTCCCCACTTGCCGTTTCTTCTCTGCATACATAAGGTCTTTCTTCTGCACCTCGGCAACTGTCTTCGTGATTAGATCACGCCATCCACGCTGATCAACCACCTTCGATCCCCATGATCTGCAATCAAGATTAGAACGTGAATATATATATATATATATATATATATATATATATATATATATAGTGACAGACAAATCCGGATATGGATGCCGCCAATCCATGAATGCATGTACTTTTGCCCCATGCTGAGGTTGACGTTGCATAAACCATGCTTCCTCATCGCAGCTGCGCTACAACGGTTCGGCTCTTACCATGCACTACTAATTACCTCGAGTTCGCTTACTTCGTTCACTTTGAATTGCTCAGTACTCTGTCTCCGCCGCACATGCTACTATGGCCTCGTTCGTATGCCTAGTCGTGACGTACTCGGTCCAGCGCAGTGTTATGCCTGAGGTGCTCTCAATGACCGAGAATGCTGCGCGATTACTAACACGCTCAAACCCAGTGGTTAGTACATCTTGACGGATGGATGGAGTGAATCAAATGTTTGCTAATTTGCGTGGACCCGAAAGAATGCCAGCGGTGAGCCAGCCGGACCTGAGGTAATGTTCGAGATTGCCAGTTTATTGCACACTTACTATTCGACGTGGAAACTTTGGCTGTTATTCTTACCACAAAATGGAAGTGTTACACGTTCACATTAAGAAGATCCATAAGGATAAATGTTCTTCCATTGGAATCGTGATGTACCATGCACAGTTGTGGGCTCACATGATTCAAGTGCGTTGGTGTGGACATTCCGCAGTTTTTAAGGCTTAGACTCACTAGAGTCTCAATAACCAGACATATGAATGCAGGTTACCACGCGCTCTAGGAGTTTTCCTCCCTAGGTGCCAGTATCTGTGATGGGGATGACAGCTGGAGCTAATGGAACCCCCTGTCGCAGTGTGGTCGAGCAGCCGTTAATCGAGTCGGCAGGTGCGTTTTTAAAATCACCTTTAGTTGTACTTTGCCTGAGACTTATGAATACAGCGCTTATGTGCATAGCCGGTGTGTTTTCTTTCTCTTGACGCGGCTGGCAGAACCAGGCACGCAACAGTATCCACACGGTGACCGGAGCTCAAAAGCTCAAGGAAAACGCTCAGTGGGAATGCGAAGCACGTGCCCAAGCCACCGGAGGCTGTTCAGAGCAATTATGCGGATCAGCGGCTGGCAAAATCGGTTTGATCTGAAAATCCTTCGATGACCATTCTCATTACTAATGTGTTGTTACCATCGTACACTAGTAATGCTCCGAAGGCAGCGGTGATCAAAGATAGGCAGTCTCGTAGACTTGGCCCTTCCGGGAGAGACTCAGTCGCGTCGACACCAGAGATGGCGGAGATCAGCAAAAGCAATCCGGGCCTTAGAGACACACAGAGAGACCTCACCCGTTAAACAGTTAGCACTGATTCAGCTTCTGAGGTAAACAAACTTATCTATCACTTCAAAAGAATGACCTGAAAGGGTAGGAGTAACTCCTAACCGGTCTTAAAGAAGACCTTACCTTTTGATGGGAGACAGATGTGTCCAACCTACACAGCACATTTCGGGTAGCTTGTGAGGAATCGCAACTTACGGCGATGTCTGTATACTCCGGAAGTAGCTCAACGCCGCTGGGCTCACAGTTCCCCAGAGCGATTTCCAGAATATCGTCCATAGTAAAACTGAACAGGAAGGATGGTGCTGGGCATCCCTGTCTCACGCCACTGGTGATACTAATGGGAGCGAAAGTCACCGTACACCTGCACTCGGCTCGAGAATGTTGACATACATTTCGGGCACTCGCATTTCTCACCAGACAAATCCAGATAGCAGCTCGATCTATTGTGTCAAACGCGGTTCGTATGTCTAAGAAGACAACGATCGTTGGCCAGTGGAACATTTGACGACGCTCGAGTATTTGATGTAGCGTAAAGTTGTGATCGATACAAATCCAGCCGGCGAGGAACCCAACTTGCTCTTCGTATACCAGACTGAACCACCTTAAAAGCAGAGCGACGAGCACTCTGGATGCAATGCGGATGAGACTAATCCCTTTGTGGTTATCACAGGCTGCTCTCACAACCTTTCTGAGGACGGACAAGATATCCACTAGGCTCCAATCAGACGAGGTTGTTTCAGTGGGCCAGACCTCTTGGTGGAGGATAGTTAACTCCCGAACAAATGATGGACTTCCATTTTTGAAAAGAGCCGGACGGAGTTTGTCTAGTGCAGGGGCTTGGTAGCGCTTTCGGAGACAAAGCTCATGTGCAACTTCAGCCTCAGATGGTGGGGAAGCGTCTATACACCAAGCAGCACTTCGGCTTCCTGAGCGATTACTCGCCGCTGCTGCTGACCAGCTAAACTGCTATTCAGTGCTCCGCCCAACGCACAAATCGACATTGTTGACACTGGATTGACTCACCATTTATTTCGCACAGAAATTCGCTTACAGTCGGCCTTTTGCCGCCAGTATATGGGATTAAGAGGAAATGTTTTCGGAAATTCCCCGAGGTTGCCACTTGCTCCATCTCAATGACCCGCTGTATCCACCAGACCTCGCGATCCTCCTGGAGGAGCTGTTTGTCGTTAGCGTTAGTGGTCCTGTGCAGTGACGAACTTCGAGAAGCTACAGGGCTCGTGCAGCGATCCAATAGTTGACAGCACTACTGGTGAAACGACAGACCATGGTCACAGTGTTGTTCATGACACTGCGGATGCGTGCCCAGCGCGTTTTAACACCTTTACTTGAGGCGCTCTTGAGATTTGAGATCAACTCGTCCTGATTGGCGCTTAGAACGCTTGGGGTAGAAAGGTTAGCCACCCCAAACCGTTTCCGACGACACTTAGGTTTCACGTTGACCACCGAGTTCACGCTCGTCAACCTCAAGTCTGCCGACTTGTGCGTTTTAAGTTCCTGGCAAGCACCACGATTTCCGTACGGCGCTTCTTTCGTAAGTCGGAGAGTCGACAGTAACACTGACTCGGGGCTGCAGTCTGTGGGAGTATACGCTGATACAGCGAACAAGCAACGCCTGTTGGACACTCACGCTGAAGTTTCAAGTCGGATCGCGCAGAGGCCACTGTTGACAGGGATCCATTCTGGTAGCGCGTCCTCAGCACGTGTACACAACGCAAGGCTCACGCTGGCAAGAACAGCTGCTTCGGTGGTTGCGTCTGCAGATAAGCGCAATGCGAAAATTCCAGCGGAACTCGCAGATGGTGAAACCAGTCGTAACGTCTTTCTAGGGTCCTGTAATTGGGTTTCAGCGAGGCAGCCGACATCAGTAGTAGTCTCAAGCGCGCGAGCAAGGGCTGCTTGTGGTCCGATGTGAATCAGCTTTCAAACGTTAAACGTTGCCTGTTTGAATCGCGAACGGGGCGCTAGAAAAGGCTTGCTAGTACTACTTGGTGGCACACACTGGGGCCTAAATTCCTCATCCGTATGGCGAGAACACTCGCTCAAGACGGCACAATGTTGTGGACTCGAAAATTGAGGGGTATTCCCAAAACATTGGATTAAACAAACGTGGAATAAAGTAACTGAACAGTAATAGAGCACCGTATCGCATGTTCGGCCGCTAGCATCTCAGCCGAGGGTAGCATTACCAGAGGAGCTAGTGAGCGCAGAGTCCTTTAAACATCGGTCCAGCCCAGCCAGCAATAACTGATGGCGATGTGCTCAATTTGCATCCACAGCTGGCCAGGTGAGTGGAGCCTCCAGGTGGCATGTTAGCGCCGGGATCGCCGAAATCCAGTGCTTAACTAAAATAGGCCGTTTTCGGCGCAAAGCTTTACTTGGCGACCACCTTTGTCTGTTGATTTTGCCTCATTCAGGGTTGGTGTGCAATACGGCGCAGCCATTCTGTTTACAGCTTGCCTGCGCTGCACACCACTGTTGCCACCGCATTTCTCTCATTGAAAGGATGTTTCGTTGCTTATGGCTGACACACTGCTTATGCGTCTCATGTGAGAGTCAAATAAGTGAAGCCCAAGTTGGCTGGTGCTGCTGCGTGAGACTCCGCATCAGAACACCATGAAGGAATATACGTTTTGCGAAGGCTCGAAATACTCTGTTGAATCTAGTACATCTGACATCAGCATGTGATTTCCCTAGGTGTGGAAGGCCACGTAGACAAATCTATATTGACAGCCATTCCAATTTATGAGATTGAGAATCGACCTCTACGGTCTGAGGCACTTCCTTTGTTGTCTTTAGAGCATTGCTGGTGCCGGTTGGCACCGACTTGTCCGCAACAATGATTTTGCGTGAGTACTAGATAACGGGAATCAGACCAGTTCCTTTGCGCAACAAATAGCATTGAATATGTTGCGCTGGCTAGGACACCTGTAATGTACACCCGGTTAGCGTCTACTCAGGATAGTTTCGCTTTGTTTACCGAAAAGGGAAAAGTGCGTTATTTACGCTGAAGCTCACTCGACCCGCTTTTACAGGACGTGACTCGCAGTTCGTATCAGTTATCGTTTTCTAGTCGAATCGCTTATCTATCATGTGTGTCTGATGTTTAGTTACTTTCGAAGTGATGGCTGATTGTAAACCTATAAACTTTATTCTCAACAAAGCGAAGCACGTTCGTATCGACATGGTCTTATGACGCGGTGCACTGAGAATCGCCAAGAAGACGTTTCATCGATGCCGTCTTACCTTCGCACCGTGTGCTGTTGTAGGCGCATTGATTCTTCCTTTGCCCATCTGCCTCCAACCACGACCTTACTCTGGATACCTAATGTAAAATGAAGCGTATTACCCGTTTTTACTTTGTATTCCACACTATTTTTCATCTCACTATTTCAAATATCTTATCTATTTATATCGCCGCGCTAAGGCATTCCTCACTCCCAGCTAGCGGGGATGATGTCATGGTGTCCTACATGTTAAAACTTTTAATTGCTCTCATACGGTACGGTACGGTAACGAAGCACCAGTACAGATTATTAATGTAATGCTGCTGATGGCGACGGTAATTCATCTGCTATTGGGAAATAGCCCATTTAGCACATGTAAGTAAGCTCAATGCACTTCACCTGTACATGTGAACGGCCGTCGTGAATAATACACGCAGAATGTCCATCCGTCTGATGCCGCAGATACAATAGTAGCATGGTACCCGATACATTTTTTTGCGGATTCTAGCTCCACAAACCTCCACTATCAGAAGTTGACGAGCTTGATAAGCTCTCACCGAAATTCTGAGGTATAATATGAACACCATTTCCACGAATGTCGGTTGCCTATCAAAACTCAATGGGCAACACTCTTTGACAAACTGCTTTCATCAGAGTTAATCACAATTCCAGTTGGAGATATGAAGATGGCAGTGAATGACTTCTATGGAATGAATCCTAGCCATTGTTGTGGAGCAGGAACACGATAGTACTGGTAGTTCAGAGACTGGTTCTATCATGCGGCCGTTCGCTAGTTTGTTTACACTCACCGAAACGCCATGATTCCAAGAGTGAACAAGCGTGAGTCGGTTCGAAAGCAATCGCCACCACCTGCCCCTTGCTTCGTCCTGACGAAGCATTGTATTCCAGCAACTTTGTGCTGTAATTCTGGGGAGCATTGGGCCCCTGTTTGACAAAGGAACAAACGAAAGGCGTATGAACTGAGCAATCAGTCACCGGCTCCTAAGGGGCGCGATTCCCTGAATTCGCTCCGCTGCCTTGCGGGCAGGCTATTCGGCCAAAGGCTCGGGGTGGTGTCCCCTAAGTCAGCACCCTACTTCGACTTGAGCAACCGGTAGTATCTCACCCTCTGGCGAAACCATGGACTTTGATGTGTTGTGTTGTGTTTTCTTTTACGATTTCTGTACCTTCTTTTTAGTCCCATGGTTTCTGATGGCTTTATGTCTATTCGTAGACGGTTGTAGTATATATATATATATATATATATATATATATATATATATATATATAATGCCATCCTTGTCCATCAGTATGTACCCCATTGCAACCACTGCACTCTCCTATTTCAGGCCAATCCTCTCGGGGCGGTTACTGTAACGTTCAGTACTCCTGAGGAAGCTGATACCGCCTTGGGCTTCCTAAATAATGCCCTGTTCGATTATCCTGGCCCTGGTGGCCCTCGACAACTGGCGGCGGAACGATGGGATGGCAAAACAAACTACGCTGTGAAAGAGGATAAAAATGTGCAATTGAGTCGCATCCACAAGTGGGAAGAATTTCTTGGGGGTGAATCATCGTCTGATGAAGATGGTGCAGTGCTAAAGGAAACCGAGACGGAACAAAAACAATCGATTACTTCTATGAACTCAGCACCGGATTATTGGGAAACATCCAGTCAAGAGAGCCCCGTTAGCGGAGCCGATACTGAGGACGCAGGGGGTGAAAGCGGTGACGAGACACCTTAAATATAGTGTATTTCGATGTACAGTCACTCATATTCGTTCATCTTGTCATTCCACATGCTCACAGATACGGATGGTGTGATCACCAATAAACCATCAATTCCAATAGTATTATTTTCCTGATATCCAGATCTTATCGCCCGGCTGGTTTCGCGTAAGACGTCATCCCTCCTATTAGGTGATTCGCAACGATTTAACCAGCATACAAAGTTACTTGGTAAAATCTCTCGGTTCATGGTTCGATACAGGTCGCCGCAACCATTTCACCGAAAGTGCCCCTCTGAACTCTATCTACTTCGCATCCATTTCCCATATTAGCTGTTCCTTTCGGACAAACGAATTAACTGGAACACTGATGTTTAGTATAGAATGGATCTGCTTACGGAATTGAGACAAAAATGAGCCTAGTAGCTTGTGGAGATTCATTATCAGTGGGGCGCGTCAGTATGCTGCACTGGTCCCTCGCCGGCGTACATGTGTGAATCAATAAAGGGGTTTTTGCTGAAGAGAAATATGAAAGGTGAATCGTGATCTAACACTATACTTGAGTTAAGGGTCGATACCCAAACCTTACCAACTCTATCATTTCGAACAGCCGGCTATTTTGCATATAAGACAGCGTCAATAAGGTGGTCACATTGCACCTTTTGCCACCATTGTGTCATATTCCGTAATTCACATTTTAAAAGCACAGCTCTTTTGAGACGACAACAAACGTACCTGTTGCATCCGTTGCTCATCTTCCTTGTGCTGTCTAAACCCAAACACAGATGACCTCAGATTGGAAGGTGAAGTGGACCAAGGTGGCCCAAATTAATCATCAATGGCCTCATTACCGAGTCAACGCCTGCTATCTCCGAGAATTACTCCAAAATCCAACAAACAAAATAGAGTTCATAACAAGCAGTAACATGTAGCGGTGCCACTCTTGCTCGACCGATGACCTAAAATTTTCCGATTCCAATCTTCGGGTGACCACCTAGTTAGCGCGCGACTCATGGTGGTGGTCGCGTGGCAGCAAAGTATCCGTGCATCGCACTGCTGATATCTTTCTTTCATTTATAACCTCAAAATAGATATCAGCGGCACACATAAACTGATGTCTCTGTGCAATGCAACTGTGAGCAGTCGTACGCGGTCTGAGTCAACAGCCAAGGTGTTTCGAATGAGAAACACGAACTACGGAACTTTAAGTTCTGTTCTGATGCCAAATGTGTAATATCAATGAGTAATCTTAACTTCATGATACTAAGATAGAATTCATTACCTGCAAATAAATACATCTTGTATTTCGAGACGGTATGAGGAACTATTCCCACATAGGAAAAGATCAAAGTGCACACCGATTTTCTTCATAAATCCCCTCAACAGACGGGATGGAAATATGTAAACTGTTATGTTTAATACCGTTTCGCATATGTAAGTTGTTCATTAAGAGGTGCAGAAGTATGTACTAGGGTTATATTCTCCTTTAACTGATGTTCCGTCCATTTCGACCAGTGCGGTCTGACGAGAAGGCGGAAATAGGACTATACTGGCCGAGCCAGCTTTTCAATTTCTCGCTGACGCGTAATCCAACTTCATCAATCAGTTGAAACATGTTCAGAGGTTTGGGTTCATAGTGGACTCAAGGGGGAAGTAAAATAACGACCGTATCAAGGTAGGCAAGGAACGGCTATAAAATATTTACGAGAAAAATAATTAGTGTGATTGTCTAGCGAAGAATAATTCAAAAATATAGACAACAGTTTGAAAGGAATACATAAAATTAGGCGGTCTTGTGTACATTCCATAGTAGTTGAGTTGGGACTTTTAAAATACGGAATCGTACTGAAAGCCTTACCCTGTGTGAAAACTACTTCAGAATGAAAACGAACAACCTAATAGCAACAGACTGACGCTAGGTACAATGAGAGCGAATGGTGCATTAGTTGGCAAATATCAACATGTCAGCGTATGATGCAGATGTTGTACTAGGAAAAGCAACACAGATGATGACAAAGGGTAATTTCTAAATTGTCAAACGATGTCTTAAAAATGTGGGACAGCGCAATATTAACATTACTTATAACTTACAACGATGCGAGGCTAGGAAGGCTGAAGTTATACAGCCTCGAATGAGCACCTCCATCAGGAATCGTAAAAAAGAAGTTGCAAGATTCAGCATTATGGCTACATTGCATATACCTACTGAGGTGAATCAAGTCCCTAACTAATACGCAAACGCGTATGGTTACTGATGTACATATGAGAATAAGATAATAAGAACACGCGTTGGATCTGGACGGCTACGGATTATAGGGTCAGGCTCCACAAGGATGGATGGTTATTTATCATCACGTATTTGACTGTTGTAGCATTCAAATGATTCCTTTTATATCGGCTGATCTTGCTATTTTAGGATTCTGCTGTATATTCGGTCATGAGCTGTAGTGGAGAGCTTTATGGCCGCTATACTCCGGAGTATTACGGCGTTCAGTAAGGCTTGTGTACCTCATCTCCCATCACGTCTGTGGTTATTCTGCTATTTTTATTACGTTCGATAATAGTATAAGCGAGGAAGAGCAGGTTTGTTTAAAATTAAGAGCTGGATATCCACCCATAACAACCAGAGATTCGACAGGCGCATGATGGGGTATAGAGCCAGGTAAAATAGATTTTCGTGGGGATGATCAAGGTGAAGTGGTGGCCAAAAGTCTTGGAAGTCCGGCTATCCGAAATGACAGGGGTCACTATGGCACACGATTAACTTTCAGGCCAGTTTAATTGAATGTGAAATAGCGAAGAGCAAGATGACAGTAATGTCAGAAAATGAATTTGGCTTCTCATTCTACCAATCTGCTAGTGTTGTCATTAGCGGATGGCGAGCATTCAAGTCTGATAAAAGTTAAGTGATAATGAGGTGAAATGGAGTGGCAAAAGCGTGGGTCACATGTGTGGTTCAATCAGAGAAATAGTTAACCAACTACCTCTAGTTTTATTGTGGCGTATCGCTATGAGTTGTTAAAAACCAAGACAAAACATGATGAATGAATAGGTACTAAGGGAAAGTAAATTAGTCCTCACTAATGCAAGATGGCTATGAGTGAAAGTAAGTGGACTGAATCCTGCTAACGTTAGGCAATCAGGTAGCCTAAGTGGTACAACTAAAACATTGAACATTGAAAAAAGATAGCTAAGCGAGGTCACGAGGTTAAGGTACAATGTGAGAACTAAGCTGAGTGCAATTTATTTAGTATGCGGTGGATGTGAGGCTCGACATTTAATGTTCCATAAGGCCTTTCTCATAAATACCGCCCATTGATGTAGATTCGTCCAGTATACGTAGTACCCAGTCCACGGTGAGATGATTGAACCCTCGGGCACAAGATGCATGCTTAGTGTTATTGCATCCAATGAGTTCTGGTAGCATATTCTATAACGTTGTATATCTTATAAGAACAAATTTGGAACACAGCCTCGTACGTACTCTAGGGACCCAGAAGGTGGGTGATGTATTTCTAATTAGATATGAAAGGAAAGTGCCAAACTGTACATTATCTGGTTCCTCAGGACTTAAATGAGTTAAATCAAACAGGAAGGTTAAGTTGATATTAATTATCCTCACGCAGTGGTTCTAGCTCCCGCGGTTTACACCCTTGTTAGTAAGTCAAAAACCCTAGTCCTAGTAACCGTTTGGCAATTGACCTTTGCACTTTTCAATACTGATTTCGGCGCACATTTTCAAACTTGTGAATATTAATGGACAATATAGTAAATTGGACGTGCAAATGCTTTATGCATATCTAGCCTGGAGTCTTTTTGTGTAGATTCGTCGCAGTAAGACACAGACAGACAGCCACCACCCATCCAGGAAAGCGCTAGACGGCCGTCTCGTCCTATTGGGACTCGTCAGTAGCGCGTACCCGCCGAATCCTGCCGGATTCGAACCCACGACCTTACTCTTGCGAGTCAGCGACTTATGTCACTGAGCCATGGGCGACGGCAGCGAACCGCCATGACTAATATCTAACTGCGACACGGCGCTGCCGTCGCCCATGGCTCAGTGACATAAGTCGCTGACTCGCAAGAGTAAGATCGTAGGTTCGAATCCGGCGGGATTCGGCGGGTGCGCGCTACTGACGAGTCCCAGTAGGACGAAACGGCCGTCTAGCGCTTTCCTGGATGGGTGGTGGCTGTCTGTCTGTGTCTAACTGCGACGAATCTACACAAAAACCTAATAAATCCGCCTACTACTTACAAATAGCCTGGACTCCTTCAAGTCTAATCAATTGAAAATACGTGCTATGGAAAATCTCGCCTTAGCAGTTCATAGAAATTGAAAGAGCTTGATTAGCGAACTCCAAGGACACGAACCGTTGTGCAACAGATAACTGGCCTGTCCTCTAACGTCAGTACGTCATTAATAATGTTGCTTTGGAATGACAGAACTTTAAAGTGCCCAACAGAGAATGTCATTTTCTGTTCTCGGCACCACCGCTGAAGGGCGTAAAGCTCCATCTGTATTATTTGAGCCCATTCTGAATCATTTTTACTATCAAACGCTAACACAACTTTGATATCAGCGAAAAGAAGGGGTCTCTCGTGTCAAAAGGTCTGGAAAACTTCGCTAAAATAAAGTATAAATAAGAGTTGGCCTAAAACTCTTCCCTGTATGACGCTGCTGGTTGCTGGTAATGGTGAAGATACGCGGTTTCCCACTCTGACACATTGGGTGGGTGTAGACAATAAAGATGAGAGCCATGCTAGTAATGGATTAGCAAACCCATAAGGGGCCAAATTTGTTAGGATTTATGCATGGGGTACACGGGCGAATGCTTTTTCCATATCTCAGAAAAGAATAATCATCGACTGTCCGGAGCCCAGAAATTCAAATTGGTAAGTTTGACATGAACGACCACAAAGGAATCCGTATTGCGATCCATCGATCAAATTTTGTGAATTTAGAAATGCAGGATTTTTCTTTGATTATTCTTTCCATTATTCGAATTATTATGGAGGCATGTCTAATGAGGCAGTAATTTTCTACCTCGTGACCGTGACCCACCTTTGTGTGGGGTATGCTGGTGGCCCGCTTCTACCTAGTATATACCAAACTTAATTGGCACG